ACCTGGGTCTCACCCAGAGATCCTCCTCTTATTGGTGAGGGCGTGGCCTACACAGTAGGATATTTATAAGATCTTCGGGTGAAAGACACTGTCTAAAGAAGACTTCCCCTGACACCCACACGCCTGTGTATCATACCACCAGAACAGAGACCACAACCCCAATTCCTCGCTTAGGGGTTTTCTTTTCAATTTGACTGCTGGCTCTCTAAAGACTGGGATCACTTTTATCTATCATGCCACCCCATCTACATTAGCTGGTGCAAAAGTGGCTTCTGAGAAAAGTGCTGAATTCACATGCTACTTCTTTGAGTTCCAAAGAAAGTGAACTGTGAAGGAAACTGGCAAAGTGACAAGACCAGGATCAATTCCTTTATCCCAAAAGACCACCCAGAATTTCCAAATCTATTCAGAGACAGATTTTGGAGTGTACCTGATCAATAAAGGGTGCTACATCACGAGCATCATGTTCTAGAAATACAGTGCTGATGCTGTGTTTTCCCAAGGCATGAAACATAAATTCTGCCAATAGTGACCTTTCTGTTGGATGCCTTTATGACTGAGTCCTACAAGTTTCACTGTGTAATTTCAAGCAAGACCACCAACCACCTGACTGGGGTCGCTATTTACAGTCAGCTGCATTCCAACACTTACAGTCTTTCATTGGACAGAGCAGTGACCACCATGTTACAAACGCCAGAGAGCACCATACCTATTGGAATTCACATAAGCAATGCTTTCTGGAGTTGAACTACTCATAACCCTGTGAAGAAGAGCACATTTTTATAAGCAGAAAATCAATGTGACTCCAATATTTATCTGTAATAAATAAATGTTGGCTTAAAAAATCCAATAGCATAGAAAAAGCACTTACTAGCTTATATATTCAACAGTGCCATGTACCTCACTTCAAGTCCATATTCCACATTATGTGGACAGGTTTAAAATGTTGCCTGTGGTAGTATTATTGCAAAATATTCATGGTTCTCCATTTATCTCCCAACCTTAGTAAACACATTAACATTGATTTGAAGTTCTGGGGTCAAATGAATTAAGATATGCAAAGAACTTAGAACAAAATCCCAAACATATATAGATAGTGCTTTGTGTTGTTACTGTTTACTAAGTTAGTGTATATAGTGTTGAACACTCACATATTTTAGATTTTGTACATCTCAACATTTTTCTCATATACCCACTCTCAGTCTGGTTTCAGCCTGTGCCACCATATGCAAATATACTATCTGGAAAAAGCATCTTACCTGCAGATAGGATTGCAGTATCCTGGTGACGATGAAGATATTGTTGTCCTCGCTCTCTTCATTGTATTCTCGCATGGCAAACCACAAGCACTGTCTCACGTTGGTATTTGAGTTACTGATAGATTTGAATTCCCTCAACACCTTTATCTGATTCTTGGCTTCATCAATACTGACCACAAGGGCCACATGAATGGTGAGAAGGAGCAGGAAAAGCCACAACTGTCTGTTCATGGTCCCTCAATCAAAAGGCACAAATGCGTCTTCTCTTTGTCCTCTCAGGGCTGGAGTTGTGAGTGGCCTGTATTAACCTAAATATCACATAGAGAAAGCTTCTCTAAAGATGGATTAAGCTTATTTGGGGGATAGTAGAGTCTTGGAATGGGAATGCTTGGGCCATGGTAAACTGTGGGTGTATTCAAGGAGGCTAAGACAAGGACAGGTTTTTAAAAACAAAATGAGAAGGACATAAGAAAATTTGAAACAAAACCTGAGCTACAAAAATCAATAACAAGTGACATCAGTCCAAGGTTAGACTGTCATGGGACACATGACCTTCCAGAAATATTTTCTTTATAAGGTTGTGGTGAGCTCTGTGAAAGATTGTGGTTCTGGCAGAGTCTTGTTGAATAGTTTTGTTACCAGGCATACAAACATGAGATCCCTTCCTTCGTAAACCTCCCCCAAGCTTTATGAACGTATGTATGTATGTATGTATGTATGCATGTGTTTTGGTTAATGTCTGGCAAAAGCAACTCTATTTTGATTCTGATAACTTTTATAGTTCAAGGATCTCACCAAAACAAGGGGTTTTCTGTCCTAATCAGTGAACCATTAGGGTCATCCTTAGAACTATCCCTTTCCTTGTGCAAGAAAACTCACGAATGGCACTAATGGCACCCCAGTCTCTGACACAAGTCTTTCCCTTCTCCTTCTATCTTAGGTGTGGTCTGTGTTTCCAAGGAGAAATTCCTCCAGACAGACGCTGATGTGTCTATACCTATCCCATGCCTGCCACCAGTTACCTATATCTCAGTGCTGTAGGACAGGACTATGAAATTGTTAGCCTAAGGTTTCCTGGCCCAGCCCTCTGACCCTCCAACCTGCTTCACCTGTGAGGCTCCTTCTTCGTCCTTGTGGAATTGGACTCTGATGGACTGAGCCAGCTTGTAGTTCTTCTGAGTCTCCAGCACTCTCGGTGTGTGCCTGTGCCCTGGTCAAGGGGCTCTGTGGGTCTGTCTTTGCTTTCTGAGCCCAGGCCCTGCATGAGAGCCACACTTTGTGATGCAATTCAGCATTTGTGACCTTGCCTTAGGGAGGGCACCCCTTACCTTCCCACCTGTGGCCTTCAGATCCAACCAGCAGTTAGAGGGATACGGACAACAGGAAAGTACTTCCCACAAAGTAGAGAGCCCCTTGGGGGGTCTTCTGCCCTCCTGTGCAATAATCCCAGCCTTCTAAATGCTTGGCCTCTGGACTCCATTTGTCTTGCACCTCACTTCCCTATCCTGCCAAAATTAGGGGTACATAGCTCACCCTGATGCTGAGGCCTAGGTCTTAGAGGGAGGAGGTAGGCAGCATCCCTCAAACTGCCAGAGATTCTGTTTTTCTGTGCCCAGTAAATCAGTGCCCAGCAAGGTTCCTGGAGAACAGAGGTGGGGGCCTTCATCCCAAGCTGCAAAGATTGATGCTCTTTTGACCATGAGGAAGGGCAACATATAGTAACCACATATAGGCATAAATCTGCCAGGCAGGTTGTAAAACATTACAGATTGTGAATACACCACATATTTAAATCTCCCTATCAATAGACTGGTTACTTCTCATTTTCAGTTGTGGGCAACAGTACTACGATGAAAACTTTATTATCTTTGAGAAATTACACAAAAATCGAGATGAGGAATTACTGCAAAAGCTTCATATACTTTCAAATTTATTATTTACTGACAAATTGCTAGTCACTAATAATGTATTAGTGGTTTTTGTAATTTTGCTGCATACAAAAAGCACTAGGGGAATTGTAAGACCCCAGGTCACATCTCACCAATAAAATCAGAATCTCTGAGAAAGGTTTTAGGAAACCAGTAGTTTTTATTTATTTTTTATTTGTTCTAATTAGTTACACATGACAGTAGAATGCACTTTGATATATCATAAATAAATGGAATATAACCCCTCATTCTTCTGGTTGTTCGTGATGGAGAATTACAACGATCATGTAATCATATAGGCATATGGGGTAATATTATCCAATTTATTCTACCATCATTCCTACCCCCAGATTCTCTCTCCTCCTTTCACTCCCCTCTGTCTAATCCAAAGTACCTCTGTTCTTCCATAGCCCACCCCATACCTCTTATTTTGAATTGTCATCCACATATCAGAGAAAACATTCGGCCTTTGGTTTTTTGGGATTGACTTATTTTGCTTAGCATGATATTCTCCAGCTCCATCCATTTACCGCCAAATGTCATAATTTCATTCTTTTTTAAGGCTGAGTAATATTCCATTGTGAATGGATAAAGAAAAATGTGGTTTATATACACAATGAAATCAGTAGTTTTAAAAGTTCCTAAAGAATTCCAACATACTTGAGAACCAGAGTACCACATCTGTGCTTCTTGAATATTAACATGCACAGGAAGCACCTGGGAATCTTGTTAAAATGTGAATGCTGGATTGGTGATATTGCTCAGTTGGTACAGTGCTTGCCATGCATGCACAAGCCCTGGGTTCAATCCCCAGCACCACAAAAAAAGAAAAAGAGTGTGAGTGCTGATTCAGTTGGTCTGGGGCAGGGCACGACAGTCTGCATTTCTAATCAGTTCCTGGTTGATATGGATGATCTGGTTTTAGCATTATGATTTGAGCAGAGAGGTACTGAATTGTGACAATTCTTGTTTTTCCATATCTTTGCCTTCAGCCTAGTTATTCTTTCTCAAATGGATAGAAAAATAATTGTGTTGCATTGATTTTATTTGCACTATTTGTATTATTGTATGAGGATAACCATTTCCTCAGTAATTCTTCTCATAATTTCTCATGTTTTTACCCCATTTTTTCTAGTGTAATATTTGTCATTCTAAAAATAATTTCAAAAGCTTTGGAGGAATCTTAAAGTAATTTATATTTTTGTATGTGTGCAACAAGACTGTTCTTCAATGCATCTTCCATCTTCTGAATTTATTCAGGCTGGATTTTTGTTTTTAATATTTTTCATAAGAGTATTTAAATTTTTGAGGTACCCAAATTTATCAAAAGCTTTTATCATTACTAGATTTTATGCTTTTTATTAAAAGGACTTCTTGACTTAAATTTTTTAACTGACTCATTTTATTTATATTTTTGTAATTTGTAAAATTACCATGCTTGTATTGTGTGTGCTGGCCTCTTCAATCCTATCTTTGACAGCTTTTCCACAACTAGCTAACCAAGATCCTCCTGGAGAATTGGCCTGGCCTCTGCTAGAAGTGTCTCCCCAGCCCAGTGAACAGACTCCCCCCACCCTGGGAGTCTCAACTGACACATTCCATTTCCACAGAGACCTCCCCCATCTAAAGTTCCCCCAGTTACTATTGTTTTCATTCATTCGTGCTGTTCATTACTTTCCTATCATTTATCATAGCCTGCAGTTACTTATTGGTGAATTTATATATTTTCTGTCTTTCCTCACAAGAAATCAAATGGGCTTTGGAAGGACAGGGAATCCTTTATAAGCACAAATAACTCAAACAGATCGGCAAGCTGTCTTTATTAAGTGTTGGTGAAACGGCACATGGCACATTTGCAGGGTAGAAACTCCAGAGAAAGAGAGGACTTCTGCTGTGGATAGCCAAGGATCCCTTCCCTGTCTATGTCTGCAAACAGGTGCTGTTCAGGATGTTGAACTTGGTCATCCATGCTAGGGAAAATACAATAAAAGTACAGCGCACCTAAAAAAAAAATTGCAATGCATAAATTGTAAAACATAATGTAATGCATTGATATCATTTAACATGTAGTAAGTAGGGGACTCAATATGCATCAAAAACAAAAGAAAAAGAGAACATAAAAGCAAAACATTCACCTGGAGCAGAGCTCATAAAGCTCCAGGATTCACCAGCATAATGGGCAGAAATTACTGAATTCCCCAACCTGAATGCTAGGGCTCACTAGAGGGCATATGCCTAGAAGCCATCACCCTGAGGTATCCAGTCCACTCAGAGCCTCCCCAATACATATCATGCCAGGCGATCTGTTCCCATGCTCTGACAGACCCAACCTGAAAGATGGTTCTGCTGGCCACCACCAAACAGAGTAGCAGCACAAACCTACCCCAGAGGCTGCTTGCAAGGATGCTGGTTGGAGGGGGAGACCCCCCACTGATGGCATGCCTCTGACAGACAACCATCCTGAAGCTCCCACATCCCATGGATCACATGTCAGTCATAGGATAGCCACATCAGAACTCAAGCCCACCAGGAATAGTCCTTACAACCCAGTTACAAGAAGGAAAGGTGGGTGAATAGACAACTAAACAGTCCTCCAGGCCCCAGACATGAGCAAAAGAAGAGTGAGGACCACAGGGAGAACATCATGTGTCTGAACCTCAGGGGTTTCAGAAAGGTACAGGGCTGGGACCCCAGGAAGGGCTCCATCCAGAGACCAAGGCCACATGGATGTCTGCAGGTTGCCTGTGGTCAGCCAGCAAAGCTGTGACAGAGGGCTGCTCCCAGGGATGGGAACCAAGCTCTGTCTGTTTAAGATGCCCCGCTTCCAACCAGTGTGGGAACCCTGAGAGCTGGTGGGAGAGGGGTCAGGAGCCCTCATTCTGTCCCTGGACTACCCCAACAACTTTCTTTAGGGCTCCACCCAAAGGCCTTCTTGATATTACTTTGCATTCCCAGAGGATTCACAATGCTTTCTCAAACCTTTTTCTCTCCTGCGCCTTTTTGTAACGGGCAATTGTCAATGTCTTCATCATGTTTTTTGCAAATCGTACGACCCATCTCCACATCTATTAAATATGTCCAATTAAATAGCTGTCAAGAAGAAATTGCAGAAACTATTATGAAATACCTTGTTGTAATGAGCAAACAAAGAGAAAAAATAGAAAAAGGAACAAAAGATGTGAATATTCATATGCACGTCAATAAAGATATACATATCATCTACAATCTCTTTTGTATTTCATTTTTTCTTCTTAATTCTCCATTTCTCTACAAAAAGATGTCCATTAAGCTGAAAGTATGGCTCAGTGGTAGAGCATATGCTTAGCATACACAAGGCATTGGGTTTTGCTTCCAGCACCAAAAAAAAAAAAAATGCCCATTAAATACTAAATACACCTAAGAAGACATGAGAGTCCTCTGTCAGCATTCTTCTCCTGGCTTCCCATGGTCAGGGTGATGAATATGCAGGGTGTAACACATTGCACAATCAAATCTTATAGAGCAAGGACCCTTCTTCACATGCTACAACCATAATGGACAAAATGACTACTCTCAAATTTGTGCCTAAGCACAGACACAGAGAAGGAATGCTGAATGACTAATTTTACATAGAGCAGCAGAGGAAGTACTGGGGAATGAAACTGACCAAATGATACTCTTATATTGTGTGCATGTATGAATATGTAACAACAACTCCCAGTGCCGTGTATAATTACAATACACCAGTAAAAAGGGAAAAAATCATATGATGGGGAGCTGGGAAGTTGGCTTTCAGGTGGGTACTAAATGCACAGAAACAGCTGGCATACATTTGTGGAAGTAGGTATTAACTGCCCCATGCTGTTCTAAATATTTATTGTGGTCTTACAAAAAGTTATTTAAAGTTATTTTCGTTTCCATAACTAGTGGTCCATGATAATTCAGGAAGCACCCAAACAGGAAGGAAAAGCAAAACTAACCAGGAAATCCTCCCAGGGTGGAGCATGCATTGCACTGGATTGACCTTGAAATTGCTTCTTAGAAAGGTGATGACTCAGGAACTTAAGAATAGGGGCAGGTGACAACGATACACACTCATGCCTGACACACGCACACTCAGGCCCAACACATTAGGGTCAGCACTTACTGGGGACATTCCCAATGCCCTCTCTGTGAATTAAGCAGGAGTTTAATCTGTTTGCCTTTGGAACCTCCCTGCCACTCGCATTTCCCTGCTGCCCCTACTAGCCATTTTCAACTTGCACAAATTTGCACGTAACGAGTACTCGCTCTAATGGTCCAATATGAAAAACGCTAACCTGGTACTGCAAAGAGAGACAATTTCCAAGTCTTTCTCTGTGAATTAAGTGGGCACCTGCCTTTGGAACATCCTGGCCAGTTTTGTGTGTCACCACAGACTCCCAGATTCTTGTACCCTACACACCCCAATCATACACTTACACACTCATTTCTCACAACACCTCATGCACATGTGCCAATCATACCAATTACACTCTCACATGTATCCATGCCTGACACACATTACCAACACTCTTACACGCTGCCTCATCCATGCCCCTCCCTCTTACACAGCCCCCACAAACTGAGTTCTGGGGCTCTACACCTGGGCGGTAGCAGCAGAGGCAGTGAAGAGATTGGTGCTGAAGGCTCCTGTGGTCCCCAGGGCTGAGGGCTGAGATCACCCAAGGATGAGGCATCCCAGGCAACAAGAAAAGCCGAGGAAAGTGTGTTCCTGGGCAAGTGGGAGGGTCCACAGACTTAAAGCTGCAAGAGTATGCTGCAGGTATGGAACCCTCCTCATCAGTCCCTGACGATGTGCCACTACCTCAGGGCTCTTTATGTGGGGACAATGCTCTGAGCATGGGTACTGTTACTACTGGACATTGTCACTATTGTATTCAAAGAAAGCAGTAAGGGACAAAAACAGACCTTGGTGGGAAAACTTACCATCAGCAAATGCTGATGCCACCTAAATGTCAGGGCCAATCTGTCCCCTAAAACCTACCACCTTTATGACCATTCCACAGGGTTGTCTTAGGACTCTTCAATGTGCTGTAACCTACCCAGATCTCTCCATCTCCCTCCCCCCATCTTCTTGCTTGGGCTTTCAATTGGTAAAGTCCCATCCCTTGTGTTTAAGACAAACTTGTAGACAAACCCTGATCCCCCTGCACACTTGCATCTCAGCATTCCTTCCCAGAGACACAGGTCCATGGAATATCAGGCATCCTCCTGAATACATCTGGTTCATCCTCACCCAGGAATATCCCTGAGACTGTGAGCACTTCTATTGCCCTATCCTCCACATAACTAGCCCTGCCCATAGAAGAGGGGTCTTCCCTGACCACCCATCCAAATAGCTACCACCTTCCAACCTTCCTGACCTCCCATAACCCTGTATCATTACACTGACCCATTCTGCCCTATTTCCCACTATCTCACTCATAGATTTGGGGGCTATATTTCCCCTGTCTTTACCCAACATAGCAGTCCCAAGAAGATAGGTTGTTGTCTGTCTTCGTCTCTGTTACCGACTTCCCAACTGACTTCTTGCATGAATATTATCTCATTCAAGTCACCAATTACCTAGCATAGTGCATTTCAGCCTTGCTGAGCAATGGGACAGTGCTCATCCAATCAGTCCTCCTGAGCTCAGTTTCAGACATTAATACATTTCTTTCTGTCTGTCTTCCTTCCTTCTGCCCTTCTTTTCAGGGGCCACACATACACATACACACACATACACATGTTGGAGCTCCTTTAGTTATACCTTATTATTTATTTTTTTAAACACTTACCAAATTAAAAAATCAGTTGCTCTTTTCTCAGACCTAGGATTCCCACCCCACCCTGCTCCTGGTTTCAGAGAAAAAGTGGGCACTACAGGGGAAACTTGGCCACTCACCTCACGCTGGCTTCTTCGGACCCGCAGAAATTTGTAGGCAAACTTATCTTCCAGGGCTTCATTAAACCAAAATATAGCATACTCCAAAGAAAGAGCAAAATACTCTTTGGTCTTGTCAATGTCTACAAATCTGTTACTGCAGAAGTGGGCTCCCAGCACCACAAGCCCCACAAACAGGAGCACCTTCCACAACATGGCTGCCAGCGTCAGTACTAGGGGCACGGTGCAGGGGGTGGTGGCAGCTACACTTAGTGACTCCCTTGCCAACTCTAATCCCACATAGACCTGCCCACCAGAGATCCTGTGCTGCTGACTGCCTCCCTTTGTCCAGTGTTTCTGTCCAGTGCTTCATCTCCACTCCCCCACCTTGCTTCTCCCATCATCTCTAAGCAGAAAGAAGGCAGAGCAAGAGGTCATATTTTCTGCTCCATGGTGACATAAGCCCTAAAACAACCTGTGGGCATGCACATAACATATACCTTGCCTGCACAACTCCTTCAGCCATAGCCCAGCCCTGATAAGACTTGGATGGGGTCTGGAGCCCACCTAGTCTATCCTCACAGCCCTGCATCCCAGGATTGGCAGAGCCATGGAACTCTTAGGAGTAAAGGTGGATCCTGAGTATGAGTGAGCTGAGGTAAGCACCAGATTTGTCGATGACCAAGACTACAGTCCATGCCCTCAGGGAGCCTCAGAAGGGTACAAAGCAGGAAACCAGCAACAGGGCTAGGAGAATCATTTCCTCCACAATTTCAGGTGCCTGCTGGTCACCTTGCCACCTCCCTTTCCTTACCTGAGGTCTGGCCATGTTTTTGCTTAGCAAAGGCAGTGGGCTGTAAGACTCCCAGTGCAAAAGGGAAGCCAAGTTCAATGTAGTAGCTCTGCAAGGATGTACATGGATAACCAGCCATGGGCCTAAGAAGGAGGCAGAAACTGGGGAAGGGGCAACTCTGTTGAGTATAGACTGACAAGCAACCTCACCCAGCTCTGCCTCTTTGCGGTCCCATGGCCTTCATGTGTCACACTGTATCAGGCTCTTCTCAAAGGAACTGACCCATGCCCTTCCTTCCTCCTGGGAAAACTTCTGAGAGGAAACAATGAAACAGGCTGGGAAGATAAGAAGGCTGTCAATAAGAGTAGGGATGCTGAGCAATGAAACAATTTTCCCTGCCTTGTGGTATCAGGACACCTGAACTTTGATAATCCTTACAAGGGCCCCAGCTTTGGAAACATATTGTAAGAACAGGACTGGAGCTGACACAGGAAGAGATGGGAGTGTGGATAGAATGATGGCCACAATCATGAACAACTTCCTACACTTATGGGTGGGAGGAAATAATCTTCCAAGATGGCCTGACACATCAATGGATGACTAACAGCATGGGGGCCTGAGGAATGCAGTGGGACCCTGCTTAGCCAACCATGCTTCAAAGCATGTGTGAACCCCCTTGCTTCCTCCCACCCAAGATGCTGCAACTTTCCAATTCTTATTTATCTTCACCATCCCTTTTTCTGAGGTCTGCCTGATCTGTAAGAGGCCCCTTCTTCATTGCAGGAGTAGGTTATGGTGGTCTTCTCCAATTCTAGATCTCTCTTGCCAAGAGTTAATCATTTTATTAGACCTTCTGAAGAACTGACTTGGAATCCTTGATCCTTTCCATCCACCTTTGTTTCCTCTTTCATGCATTCTTATTATAATCCCTTCCTTCTGTTTTTCTCCAGGTTTAACTGGGAATTCTTTGGTTCTTGCAATGGAAACCTACGTCATTGATGGCTGCCTTGTCCACCCTCCAGCATGTGCATTTCCAGACCTATTACGTGTCCCTCAAAGCCCAATATCAACAAGCATCCACACGTTTGTTACTTCAGAAGGTTTTAATATGTATAGCATGGAGATTGCTTCTCTAGCCCTTGTACTACATAGAGATGTGCAGTTACAGTCACCAAATATTTCTCTCCTTAATGTCTACCTAATTTTTACTGTGGCCAGAGAGTGTTCTTTGAAATTCATCAAGATGTGGTTTAAGAACCGGAAGATGTTCAGTTTTGATAAACTTCTATAGGTTCATACTCTGCAGTTGTTGGGTGAATGGTCTGTGTAATACAAAATCAAATACAGGCCAAACTTATTGCTATATTGTGTGCATGTATGACTATGTAACAACAAATCTCACTACTATGTGTAATTATAATGCAATAATAAATAAATAAATTGGTTTTCTAAGTTGTCCCAAAATATGAAATCAAATTTGCTTAATGGATTCTTAAATTTTTTTATGTCTCTTCTGATTTTTTTACTCGTCAATCTGTTGATGACTGAGAAAGGTGCTTGAAACCCTCTCACCAGGATCCTGGATTTAATGGTTTTATTTCCTGTCCCTGCCAGGAAGCCTGACATGTCCCCAAGGACAGACTACTGTCAGTGTTGATACCCTCCTCTACTTCTGAGCATAGGACTGGCCTCCCTGCAGAAGAGCCACCCACTGTGAGCCTGATGCCTGAGATGGAAGCACAGGGAACACAGATGGCTGCTCACTGGCAAATTTTTTTTTAACATTCCTTTTTAATAGATGGGTGAGGAACATGGATAAATTGGAGAATGAATGAATGTGTGGGTACACAAACCAACCAGTGGGGCCCCAGCCTGAATTGCTTCACATGAACTGAGAAGTTTGATTTACTCAACACTCAGCACCTGCAGCCAAGGTAATGTAATAATTACAATAGATTCTCCATTGCTTATCGCTAATGGTGACATTCTTGGCAAACAAGCAATACAGAAGAGCTCAAAACTGCTCAGGGACCCATAATGTACTCAAAGATGCCTTTAATTGCATTGACATTGCACAAGCCTAGGACTACAGACTGTCTAGGGAAAGAGGGGGATTTCTGCTGTGAAAAGCCAGGGGCCCCTTCCCCACCTGTACAGGTGCTGTACAGAAGAGTAAACTGGGAAAACCAAGGTCGGGCATCCACATGAAAAGTACAGCGCACCTAGAAGAAATAATAATTGTAACATATATCAGAAAAATTTAATGCATGGAGATCATTTAGCTTGTATAAGGTCTTGAGATGCATTAAAAGCCAATTTAAAAAAAAAGAAAAGTATAAACATTCACCTGGTACAAGGCTCATAAAACTCAAGTATCCACCAGAAAAATGGGCAGAAGTTGATAAATCCATCACCCAACATGAACCCAAGGGGTATCAAGGGGGCACCTTCCTGAAGGCCATCACCTTGCCTTCTGAGGCATCCAGTCCACTCAGAGCCTCCCCAATACACATCACGATAGATGATCTATCCCCATGCTGTGTGCTCTGACAGAGCCAGCAGACAGCCTGAAAGACGGTCCTGCTGGCCACCATCAAGCAGAGTAACAGTACAAACCTACCCCAGAGGCTGCCTGCAAGGATGCTGGTTGGAGGGGGAGACCCCCCACTGATGGCATGCCTCTGATAGTCAACCATCCTGAAGCTCCCACATCCCATGGATCACATGTCAGTCATAGGATGGCCACATCAGAACTCAAGCCCACCAGGAATAGTCCTTACAACCCAGTTACAAGAAGGAAAGGTGAGTGAATAGATAACTAAACAGTCCTTCAGTCCCCAGACATGAGCAAAAGAAGAGTGAGGACCACAGGGAGAACATTATCTGTCTGAACCTCAGGGGTTTCAGAAAGGTACAGGGCTGGGACCCCAGGAAGGGCTCCATCTTGTGACAAAGGCCTCACAGATGTCTGCAGGTTGCCTATGGTCAGCCAGTAAATCTGTGAGCAGAAGGCTGCTCCCAGGGATGGGAAACAGGCTCTGTCTGTTTAAGATGCCCCCTTTCTAGCCAGTATGGGAGCCCTGAGAGCTAGTGGGAGAGGGGTCAGGAGCCCTCATTCTGTCCCTGGACTACCCCAACAACTTTCTTTAGGGCTCCACCCAAAGGCCTTCTTGATATTACTTTGCATTCCCTTTGGATTCACAATGCTTTCTCAAACCTTTTTTTCTTCTGCGCCTTCTTGCATAGGACAATTGTCAATGTCTTCATCATGTTTTTTACAAATTGTGCTGCCCATATCCAAGTCCATTAAAAATATCATTGTCCATGTCTGTCAAGAACAAATGATAAAATGATCAGTTAAATATTTGCTTTTTGTGAATATAAAATAAAAAGAGAACCAAGTAGAAAAGAAGGCAAATGCAAATGACAAGGATATCCACTCATGCCCAATACACACCAGACATTCGCATGCTCATGCCCCAACACAGATCAACAACACTCACACATTCATGCCAAATACTGTAATAGTTACCACCAGTTACTGTTAGTGTGCAAACTAACAGCACTCACATGGCTCTCTCACATCTGCCCCTCCCTCCTTGCTCAGACTCTACACACTGAGCCAGTCTTGAGCTCCAATGCTGAGCAGCGGCAGCAACAGTAGATGTGGTAGAGTGGTTGGTGCTAAGGGCTCCTGTGGATCCAAGTGCCTACAGCTAAAAATCAGTCCAAGGAGGAGGCATTATCAAGGGAACAGGAAAGATAGGGGAAAGTGTGTCCCTGAGCAGGAGGATGGGTCTGCAGACCTTTGGCTACAGGAGAGTGCTGCAGATGTGAAACCCTCCTTGTCAGTCCCTGCTGACATTCCACCTGGTCAGGTTTTTTAATGGGAGACAATACTTTGGGTACAGACACAGTAACTGCCACTCACCTTTTTTTGGGCTCTTCCAACCTCTAGCAACCTGTATGTATTCTCTTCCGCGTTGTCATCATTGAATTGAGCCACGGCAAACTCCACTGATGCCACAAAATAATCCAGATTCTTACTAATGTCTACAAATTCTTTTTTAATGGTCCAGATATGGGTCCCCAGCACAATGAGTCCCATAAGCAGGGGCACCTTCCATAACATGGCTGTCCTCAGCCTCAGCACTGGAGGCTAGGAATACATGAGTGGAGAAGGAGGTGACAGCTGTAACTGGTGACGCCCTCCCCGCTCAGAAGCCCACATTAGCCCTGCCCACCAGAGGCTCTGACTTCCTCCTTCTCACCAGCACCTCTGTCCATCACCTCATCTTCACCCCCATGCTTTTCCCTCCTGTAATCACCAAGCAGAAGGCAGAGCAAAGGTCACATTTTTCTTCCGGGGGCAACATAGCCTTGAATGCACCCAAGAGCATGAATGCAAAATACCTGCCTGCTGCCTGTATATCTCCAGGACTGCTCCCAAGAGGTCCACCAGAGAGCTCCTAGGGAAGCTCCTGTCTGCTATTGCAGACCCATTCCTGGAGGCCCAGTGCCTGCCTTGCTTGCCCTTGCACAGTGCAGGCAAGGATTGCCAGGGTTGACAGAACTCCCAGGAACTCTGATGAGCCCATTCCTGGGGAATTGAAGCGGTTGTCAGTTCTGTTCATGACCTTGACTAGAGCCCATACCACCAGCTCAAAGGAGTACAGGGTGTGCAGCCAAGAGAGATGAAGTGTTGGGGGTGTGGGGATCTATGAGAGGCCATCTTCCCATGCCCTGACTCTCCTCTGCCAGAAGGTACACCTAGCTCCATCCTCCCTGTCTGTTGTGCCAGTTCCTAGTTTTCCCTTCTAAACATTTCCACAGACATCCTTTTTGACCTGTGGGCTATAATAGTTGTATTGTTTTATTCTCGACCATAGTTGATTTTCTAATTATCTTTTATCATCTTTTAACTTAAGTCCATTGTGTCCAAAGAACATTCTTTAACTTCTCTTCTTTGATTTTTTTTTTTGTTTGGAATATGAACAATATTCTCTACACTTTTTAAAAACAGTGTATATTCTGTATTTTTAGGTATATAGTTAGATATCTTTATAGAAAAGCCATTTTGTTTTATATACATATGTGTGTGTGTGTGTGTATTCTTTCCCTTCCCCCCGACACACACACCCTTTATTTTTATTTTGTTTTATTGAGTTGTTTGGTAGGGTTTAGCTTTGGTATTAGTTTTGGTCTCCTTTCTGCCAGTTACTAAATAGTCTTAAAATCTCTATGGGTTTGGTTATGAATTTGTCTCTCCTTCTTTTCTGACAATTTTGCTCTTGATATTTTGATACTCTGTCACTAAGTGCTTGTACAAGTAGAACTGTCACAGCCTCTTGGTGGCTGAACATTATCTCACTATGTATCTTTAGGGCTACGGTTGTAGCTCAGTGGTAGAATGCTTGCCTAACATGTGTGAGGCACTGGGTTCAATTCTCAACACTACATACAAATAAATAAAAATAAAGTTTGAAAAAAAAAGAGAAATATTTTTTTAATGTGGAGTATAGCTTCTAACTCTGAGGTCTACTTGTCTGATATCTAAGTTAAGTATATCTACAATGCTTTGATTAGTATTTTCATGATATGACTTAACCTATATTTTTACTACTAAATATGGTATCTTAATTAATATCTGTCTTGGCTTTCAGAAGCATTTTCAATATGCTAAGAGTTTTTTATCTGGAGCATTTGTTCCATTTCCAATTGCTCATGTCACTGATAATTTATGACTAATACTACTATTACTGCAATGTTTGGGTTCAAATCTACCATATTACTATTTGTTTTCTATTCTTCTCATTTGCCAACTATTTCTTCTTTTCTTCTTTCTTGTATTGCTTTCAATTATTCAAGATCTTTTTATAATTCCACTTCTTCCCTTCATGTCTGTTATCCCCGTCCTCTATTTTACTCTTCCTTTGGTGAGCATAACTACAGTGATTATAACAAGTATCTTTGACTTGAGTCTCCAATTAGTAAGTACTTTTACCTCTTCAAGGATGTAGGGGGACCCTTAGGACACTATTCCTCGTTTGCTCTTGTTATGATTTAGATATGAGTTGTTCCCCAAAAGCTCATTGTGTGACAATGAAAGAAAACTTAAGAGATGAAACGATAGGGTTATGAGAACCTTAATCTAGTTAGTGCATTAGTTTACTCAAATGGATTAACTGGTGGTAACTGTAAGCAGATAGAGTGTGACTGGAGGAGGTATGTTACTGGCGTCAAGACTTTGGGGTATATATTTTGTCCCTGTTGAGCAGAACTCTCTCAGCTTCCTGATTGCCATGATCTGACTGCTTTCCTCCATCATACCCTTCAATCTTGATGATCAGCCTCATCTTGGGCCCAGAGCAATGGAGTATGCCATCTATGGACTGAAACCATATTTGAGAATAAACTTTTGCTCCTCTATGCTGTTCTTTTCAGGCCTTTCAGTCACAGCAGCGAAAAACCTGACTAAAATTGTGCTTTTCTATTTTTTTATGTTATTGCCATGGTGCATTTAAATTCTTAATACAGCTGTGCATCAATTAACATTGGGATTACATCCTGAGAAATGCATTGTTAGGTTATTTCATTATTGCATGAACATCAGAATGTATTTACACAAGACAAAATAGCTACAATTTCATTAAGTTAGATAATCTTAAAGTACCACTGTTGCATATGTGGTCCATCATGGACTAAAATGTTGTGCATGCATGAGTGCATTTGAAAGCCAATAAAACAATATTATTTTATTTTATACATTCACCACTCATTCATATTAACCTACCTATGAACCTTCTGTCATGTATTATTCCTTCAATATTACTTTGCTTCCTCCTGAGTTCATTTCCCTTTCCCTTTAAAAAAACTCTCTTTAGTATTTACTTTTGTTTGGATCCTATTGATATACCTTTTAGCTTTTTCCTAAAGTTGTCTTCTCACTAAACATTATTATCAGGAAAGCCCCTGTCTGACAGGTTCATCCAAGATTCTTTTTTGTCTCTTCTGGGATAATGGGAGTCCCCCCATTCATAGCTAATGAATTTAAGACTAATCTAAGCCCTACTCTGGCTGTATCCTGTATGTTTTGATATATTGTGTGTTTATTATATTTGAATTCAAAGAATTTTCTTATTTCCTTTGTAACTTTTTGATTCATGAGTCATTTAAAAATATACTATTAAAAATGTACTATTAAATTTACAAGTATCTAGAGGTCTAGAGGTCTTCAAGTTATACTTTCATTGTAGTGGTCTACTCTGAACAAAAAACATACTCTGAATCAGTTGCATCTTTTGAAATTCTTGAGGTTTCTCTCCTTATTGATTTTCTGAAAATGCTTTAATTTTCGCTTAAGTTGAAGAATATTTTTGCTGGCTATAGAATTATAGGGTCTTTTTTAACAGCATACTACAAGGACACAGCCACATCAATGTTTATAGCAGCACAATTCACAATAGCTAAACTGTAGAACCAACCAACCAACCTAGATGCCCTTCAGTAGATGAATGGATAAAAAAAAATGTGGCATATATACACAATGGAATATTACTCAGCAATAAAAGAGAATAAAATCATGGCATCTTCAGGTAAATGAATGGAGTTGGAGAAGATAATGCTAAGTGAAGTTAGCCAATCCCAGAAAAAAACAAATGCCGAACATTTTCTCTGATATAAGGAGGCTGACTCATAGTGGGGTAGGGAGGGGGAGCATCACAAGAATAGCCGAACTCTAGATAGGGCAGAGGGGTGGGAGGGTAAGGGAGAGGTAAGGGAGGGGGCAGGGGTTAGCAATGATGGTGGAATGTGATGGACATCATTATCCAAAGAATATGAATGAAAATACGAATTGGTGTCAACATTGTGCTCTATATTGTAATATGAATTGTAATGCATTCCACTGTCATTTATTTTTTAAAAATCAATTTTAAAAGAATTCTAGGTTTTTGAATTATTCTCTTTTATTTATTTGAAACATCAAAGCTGGGCTTCTTAAAGTGGTCTATTTCTAGTTCATTTTTACTCCTAGGATTTGACCTTTGATGATTTAAGCTGAAATCATGGGATACTTACCCCAGACTTTCTTTCTTGGCAGGTGCAAGTTTTTGTCTACTTTTAATCCCCTCAGTTAAAGCAAAAAATTAAAATGCCCTGAAAATCACAGCCTTTTATCTCCATTATTACCCCCAGTACCCTCCCACTCTCTCCTTTCTGCCCCTCCAGGTGTTTCTCTGAGTCAGGCAGGAGAGAGAGAAGACTGTTCCACATCAGGCAAGTGTCCATCACCATGATGTCTCTCCCAGGGGCAGTGATTAATGTCTGCAACCAGAGTTCTCACCATGGACACCAGGCTGGGTCCTCAGGTCAACTTAAGTTGACCTTCAACTGAAGGTCAGAGGATTTAAGCATCAAGGAGATCAGAGCATGCTGAATTGAGCTGCTGCTTCTGAGGTTGGTCCTGACAAAAGATTTTTTGTCAATCAAATGACTGTCCAGGACCCCAGGGACAGGATTATGTGGCTAGATCTTTTGGAGCTTCAAGGGCAAAGCAGAGGCTTTCCTGGTTAAGGTCCCTGGGGGATTTGTGGGAACTCCCAGAAGTTCTCCCGGGTTTGGCTTCATTGTCAGGGAGGTTCATAATTGAAAATATTTTTGTATACTTATGTTAATAGCAGCTTTATTTACAATAGCCAAGAGTTGCAAGCAGCCCAAATGTCTATCAATCAATGAAAGTATCAACAAAATGCAACATTTATGTATAATGGAATACCATTCAGACTTAAAAAGGAAGGAAACTGTGATACATGCTACATTGTGGATGAACCTAAAGGATTTATACTAAGTAAAATATGCCAGTCACAAAAAGATAAGTACTTAACGCTTTAACTTATATGAGTACCTAGAGCAGTTAAACTCACAGACACAGAGAGTAGAATGGTGGCTGCCAGGGGCTGATTTGGGGGCAGAGAAATGGGGAGTTATAGTTTAATGTGTATAGAGTTTCCACTGGAGATGATGAAAAAGTTCTGGAGTTGGATGGTGAGGTGATTGCACAACAATGAGAGTGTGTTTAATACCACTGAACTATACTTAAAAATTATTAAAATGACAAATTTTATGCTACTTGTATTTTACCACAAAAGGGCTCAGGAGAATTCAGAATCACAACAGAGAAGCCCCTGGTTTGAAGGGCAAACTTCAAATACTTATAACATCTTTTGGCATTGTCCTCTGCTGCTCAGTCTGGCAGTGAAGGGGTAGGAGAGACCAAAGGAAAAAATGTCCTTCACCAAATACAGCCCGTTCCTGACCTTCTTGGTCTACTCTGGTCTCCCAGATGTTTTGAGGGTAGCTGCCTCTTTCTAAAGCTTTGTGTTGTCCAGGAACAGTAGGGGCTAATGGTAGCCTCTCTGGAAAGAGTTTCTCTGCCCACTGAGCTTTGGCAGAGTTCAGCCTTCTCAGAATACCTCTGTCCAGGTGCCTGATTCTTGTATGGCATTTGACATCATCATTTAGCCAGGGAAGAAACCAAGAAGAACACAATAGAGTTGCTATCTGGTATTAGGCTATATCTTCCTTTTGAGTGCTCTGAAAAAAAGTTGTGGATTAAAAAAAAAAAAACAGCTTTTCTTCACTCATTCACCCATAAATGATTAATGCATCCATAAATCAGAAACAGGATCAAGCATCAATGTACATATTTCATCATTTGAAAAAACAGGAATTTTCTTTCTGGCATCTGGCAAAATTCTTTTATGAGTGGCTCAAGGAAATTTACTGGAAGGGAAGGTGGGTGCTAGGAAACAGAATTGCCAATTATAGTCGTTCCTGGAATCCAAATGGCCAAGGAACTCATATCAAGTCTCATGGGTCTCTCGTCCCCTGTCCCATCCCACACTTTCAACGATGCCCCTGAATTATAAACTGATGGATAAATGTGTTCATTTCAGGGACACTTCTGTCCCTTAGTTCTCAAAGTTCTAATTGTTACTACTTCAGAAGTTGGGAGGGACTAAACAGTTGGCACAGCACCCAGTAAACAGAGGTTCCTTTTATCAAGCTTAACTAGTTCTCAGGAAGGAGAACAAAGCAATTGGAGGTCTGCAGAGAAAAATAACCCGAAACTGGGCTTCCAGTAGATGTGGAATGTGTCCACTTACTGAGGCCAAGGAACTCAAACCAAGAGAGAATCAAGAACCTGCTTCTGTTATGGGATATCACTTGTACCAGGATGCCTTCCTCATATGTGCATTAGACAAATACAAATTCAAGGAGATCCTAGAATATAATAACCTTTCAAAGGTATCAAGGAAAGACTGAGAAGGTATTCTTCATGGAAGAAGGCCAAATTAACAGGTGACTTTGTGTCCTTTTATTAGTAAACTAGAAAAGGTTCTTTCCCCCATGAAGTTTCAGAGGGAAAAGCTCTTTACATTGTCATTATATTTCTGCAAGTTTGAGATTCTTTTAAAATAAAACTTACATTTAAAAACTCAGGGGGCTGGGGATGTGGCTCAAGTGGTAGCGCGCTTGCCTGGCATGCGCGGGGCGCTGGGTTCGATCCTCAGCACCACATAAAAATAAAATAAAGATATTGTGTCCACCGAAAACTAAAAAATAAATATTAAAAAATTCTCTCTCTCTCTCAAAAAAAATAATAATGATGATGATGATACTCAGCAGTGTTCCAAGCACATGCTTAGAATCCCAAGAAGTGTGACTGAGGCAAGAGGATCATGAGCTCAAGTTCAGCCTCCACAACTTAGCAAAACCCTGTCTTAAAATAAAAAAATAAAAAGATCTTGAGATGTAGCTCAGTGGTAGAGCACCCCTCAGTTCAATCCAGTACTTCCAAAAAAAAAAAAATTTAGCAGTGCTGCAGTGCTGGGATACAGCAGTCTCCTCAGCATTTGGAGTTGAGTAAGAGAGGCAAGGAGGTGATCCAGCAGGACATCAAATGCAGGCACAGATATGTCCAGGTTATAGTACTGTGACCCAGCTCTGCACATTCAGCAATAGGAAAATATCTTGTTTCTTCAGAGAAAGAATTACACATTATTGCAGCTGCAAATATCTTCAATCCAGACGAAGGTCATTTCTTTGCAGATTAGAAGGCTGAGATACAAGGAGAATGCAGAGGCATTGCTCCATGTGGTGCTTCTGGCTTTATCAAAGTCCCTCAGGGCCATCAGAAGGGAGCACAAAACTTGGCCTAGCGTCCGGCCCATGAAGGCTCCATGCTCTGTCAACAGAAAGTGCGCAGGAAGTACAATGAGAGGAAGAAAACCCACTCAGGGTGTGTTAATGAGCAGGCGACTCTGGGGACCTGGAGCTCTTTCCCAATGGGGAGCCCAAGGAGACTGTGTGGAGTACCTGCTCTGGAGGTGGCCCACCTGAACTGCACAGAGGCTGGGATGCTGATTCCCGTGTTCTTGCCTGTAGAGGATGCTTATAGGTATATAAAATAAATTACTGGCACCTTTGGCCTATTCCATGTGGGCAAACAAGCCTTGTGGCCAGAGAAAGCCTCAAGCAAAGTCACGGTCTTTTTGGAGCACCCTCAGGTCTGCCATGCACATTAAACAGGGATGTGAGCAGTAAAGGGCTGAGTCTCTACAGTGTTTTCTGTTCTGAACCTATGGGCTTGGCCCTATCCTCAGGATGGTAATTCCCCAGAATAGGACAACTGAACCAACCCTCTCCCAATACAAAGAGAAAACACATCTGTGATAAAACTCCATATAGGATTGGTGTGTTGGTGCTTAGTGCAAGAGCCTGATCTAAATCAATGGCCTCTGGAAAAATTTTAGTTATCAAAGTTTAAGCTTGTTCTACAGGGCCAGCCAAGTTTCAGTTAGATCAAGAAAGGGAAGAGAACTTTCAGAATACTAGTGGAGATAATAAGGGATTTTGCTCATGAAAGATGGTGAACTGGAGAAGATGAAGAGGTTAGACAATTGGGTGCAATTAGGTATTTGACAAAGGTGTAAGAGGATAAGCATCCATCAGATCATGGTAAGTCATAAAGGAAATGGGGGTGTGAGGTATAATGGGATTGATCCTAGAAGTCTCTTTTGTGAAAGGGGGGATAATCAAACAAAAGTTTTAAATAATTTAACTATTCAGCATTCAGGACAAGGTATGGGCCCTCCATAGTAGCAGTTTGAGAGGCAATTCCCTGAGCAGTGGTGGCTTCCCAGGAAGATCAAAGTGGTAATGTCAGGGCAGCTGGCAATGTGCCATCAGGCAGTCCTTGGGGTGGCTATAAGGATTGCATGGTGGCAGTTAGCATCTGGCCCAAGAACTTCGTGTCTCTCTCTTTTTTTTTAATTTTTATTATTAGTTGTTCAAAACATTACATAATTCTTGACATATCATATTTCATACATTTGATTCAAGTGGGTTATGAACTCCCATTTTTACCCCGTATACAGATTGCAGAATCACATCGGTTACACATCCACTGTTTTCCATATTGCCATACTAGTGTCTGTTGTGTACTGCTGCCTTTCCTATTCTCTACTATCCCCCCTCCCCTCCTCTCCCCTCCCATCTTCTCTCTCTACCCCATCTACTGTAATTCATTTCTCCCCCTTGTTTTTTTTCCCTTTCCCCTCACTTCCTCTTATATGTAATTTTGTATAACAATGAGGGGCTCCCTTCCATTTCCATTGGTGTCTCTCTTAATGCTGGGGCATGACTCACTGGAGCAGATAGCAGGCCTTCCTAGCAGCTCAGTGTGGTGCCATCTCATGGACTGTATTTTTTCCAACTTGTGTTCTGATTTGTGCATAACTTAACCTTAGGAAACAAGCATTTTCCTAAAGTTGAAAATTATTTATAATTCTATCTTATGTTGTATAATATTGCATGGTATCAAGGCATAAAAATATGCTATTTTATGTCCTTGTTGTTGAACATATATATGTTATTTCCAAATCTTTGCAAATGTATGTTGCAATGATCACTCTCTCCCTCCCTCCCTCTCTCCCTCCCACTCTTTCTCCTGGTGTGTGTTTGTGTGTGTGTGTGTGTGTGAAAAATAAATAAATATATATATAAAATGTGTTGAATTATTACTAATGGCCAATTTCTAATATCAGAATTATTGAATTGAAATACATGAAAGATTTTGAGCCATTTCCATGAAAACACCAAAAACAAAAATGATAGATCATATATAGGACAAAATAGAATAGTCAAAACAAAATAAAGCAGACCCATCTGATACTTGACATTATTGAAATAATGATTCAATACAGAAAGAATAGTCTTTTCAACTAATGATGTTGAAACAAGTGAGCTTCCACACACAATAGAAATGAGCTGCATACTCAACTTCAAAACTTATGCAAAAATTAACACCAAATGGAACGACAGGCAAAAAATGGTACATGATAAAAGTTTTAGAACAAAAGATTCATGAATCAAGGCTAGGCAAAAAGTTTTCAAACACGACACCAAAACCACAATCCTTACTCTAATGAAAATACTGCTAAATGAAAAGACAAGTTATAACCTGGAAGAAAATACTTTCTTTTCCTTTTTTAATTGGTGCATTATAATTATACATAATCTTGGGGCTCATTGTTGCATGTTTGTATGTAACATGTGTATGTGAGTTGGTCAATTTCATTCTCCTTCATCTCCCATTTCTCCTCCTCCTCCCTCTCCTTTCCCCTTCTTCTATTCTACTGGTCTCCCTTCTATTTTCATGAGATCTCTCTCTCTCTCTCTCTCTCTCTCTCTCTCTCTATATATATATATATATATATATATATATATATATATATATATATATATAAAATCTTTCTCTCTTCTATTTTCTCTCTACTTCCACATACAACCCTTGACTTTGAGTCTGTTTATTCTGCTTAATATAATGCTCTCAAGTTCCATCCATGAGAAAACACTTTCAAATCCCATATCCAGAGAAAATTTGTGTCCAGAGAATATATAAATAATCTTCAAAACTCAACACTTAAAAAACAATTAATAAATGGTCAAAAGGCAAAAACAGACACTTTAACAAAAATGTATAAATAGAAAAAAATCATAAAGTGACCATTGACTAATAGGCAATAAATTTCACATCATTACCAATTAGACAAATGTTAAAACCATGATGAAATACCAATGCTGGATGCTTACATATGCTATTTCCGATCTTGTAGCAACTCTGCAAGAGAGAATTAATGAATGTGTCTCTGCCATGACATCCTAGAAGACAAAATTTCGTAAATATTGTTTAGAACACCTTACAATAATCTCATCATGTGTTGGTCATATGAGCCCATGAGAATCAGAAGCCAAAAATAAAGTGACTTAAACATACAAGAGTTCATTTTCTTCTATAAAAGAAGTTAGGATAGCAATATAGGCTTGGAATGGAGACTCCAAAAATTGATGAGGGCACAAGGCACCAAGTTCCTTTCATCTTTCTGCTGTTCCATTCTCAGAGCTAGTCTCTGTCCTTAGTTTATTTCTTCTTCCAATACAGCTGCAGGGGCTCCACTCATCATTTGCCTATTCCCAATAGCAAATAAGGAAAATGTGACTCTTCCCAACCAAGTCAGCTCTTCATAGAATGAAACCTTCTATGTCTCAACTATTATTTTACTTATTTCTTGGTCAGATGATATCATGGTTTGGATCTGGAATATCCCCCAGAGCAGCAATGTTCAGAGATACGGCTTTCGGGAATTGAATGGAACATGAGCGCTCTGACCTCATCAGGGGATTAATCCATTGAGAGCTAAATGGGAGGTGAAGGAAACCGTAGGCATGTGGCATAATTGAAGGAAATAGATCACTGAGGGTGTACCCTGGAAGGGTATTTCTTGTCCTCAGCCCTTTCTCCATCTCCTTTTTTCTCAGCAAGAGAAACAATAAGAGAGGTAAATAGGGAGCCTACATCCTGGGAACAAATTTTTACCCCTCACACTTCAGATAGAGCTCTAATCTCCAGAGTATACAAAGAACTCAAAAAATTAAACAACAAGAAAACAAATAACCGAATCAACAAATGGGCCAAGGACCTGAACAGACACTTCTCAGAGGAGGATATACAATCAATCAACAAATACACGAAAAAAGTGCTCAACATCTCTAGCAATCAGAGAAATGCAAATTAAATCCACTCTAAGATACCATCTCTCCTTTGTCTTTAATTCAAAGATCCTTTCACCTATTACAGTGGGATTGAGGTGGTTGAGTGTCTCCGTGTATCTTTTATGCTTGTGTATGTCAGTGTGGGTGTGTACATGGGGCATGTCTGTGTGGGTGTGTCAGTGTGAGTTTAGATATGTATGTGGAGCAAGGGTATAGGTGCACAAGTCTGAGTGTAGATATGCGCTTGTATGTGTGTGCTGGTTTGAGTGTAGGTGTGTATGTGGAACAGGAGTGTAGACACACGTGCCTGTCTGTGGCATGCCTGTGGACAGGCATGTGTCTGTGTTAGCATCAATGTGGATAAGTGGATGAATACTATATGTGTCTGCAAGGAAGGCTAGGTGGGAGGTGTTAGGAGAGAGATGCTCTTTCCTTGTCATGGGGCCTTCCACCCACGGGAAAACCTAGCTGATCATTAAGAACAACACTTGGAACAGGCATCCTATCCTCCCAGGTAGGTCTTCCCTATACTCACCCACATTCTCCCCTGGGTTCCCACACACAGGAAGGAAACATCACTACACATCATTGAATTATATCCTTCCAAATAATACCTCAAAAGGCTTTCTTAGTAGTAATACCTACCAGTGCATCCAGCTGGCTCCTGCACTGAGGGCCAGTGACATGAGTGCCAGCCTTCTCCTACAAGACTTCTTCCTTCTCCACTTGGACACCAAGCTTGGGGTTCCCATGTGGTCTTATCTTGCTGAGAGCAGTTTCCAGCTAGAAAGCTTTTTGCATCTCTCACCTGAGAATATAGAACCTCTCCCTTGGTCTCTTTCTCGCCCCATCCTCCTCCAAAACATGGATTTGGGGACAGGTGCCATTGGCCTCACAGGTAAGCCTTTCTGACTTCACATTCTTCTGTCTGGTCACCTATTCCTTTGTTCTTTGGAGAATGCTTTCTGTACAGACCTTACCTTCAGGGACTCCTACTTCCCAGGCCCACCTGGTGTTGACTTGCTTCCTGGAATCCAATACCCTCATGTCTTAATAATTTCCTGTACCCCAGACTTCCTACAGAACATGCTCAAGTGAGCTCAGGGGACAGAGGCTCCTGGCCTGGCTTCC